CAGAGTACTATTCCATGACATTTTATCTTCAACTTACCATAGTTTTTGTCCTCTGACTGTGAGAATATGGCTCCTGACGGCCACCTGCTGTTTAACAGAACCTACTGTCAATGTTTACGGGGAACGGTGGATGTCCTGCTGATTTATACATTTGGCTTTTAGATTTCCTCTTCAGTTCTATTGCGGTCCCACCCATCGCTGATGCAACGTTCGACATTTATAACAATACAGTTTAGACTGGATGGTTCAGCAAGTGACTATCAGTGGAGTTCAAAGAAATGTATGAGGAGCCTCATTTGTCCCTGTCTATCGAGAGTATTGTAACAATACCATACTGATGAAATATCCACCAAAAACCCGGTCTCCCAAAAAGAAAAAAAAGCAAAAAGGAAAAAGAAAAAAAAGAAAAAAAAAAAAAAAAAAAAACAAAAGAAAAAACAAGAGCGCAAATAAGAGGAAAACAGGGGGGGGAGTAAAATGAAAGGTGGGGGGGGTTGGTTGTTGTTGGGGCGAGCGGTGGAGGAAAAGGTTGGCTGGTGGTAGTGTCGGAGTCGGAGTGTGAGAGCGACGGATAGAGAGGATTGGGTGGTGGATGGAGTGGTGGCTAGGGCGTGAGAGAAGGTTAGAAGGGTTTATTGGTTAGTCACTCCCCTCCTTTTTATTTTCTCTCTTTCTCCCCTGCCGCCGTCCATTTGCTATATTTTGGAAAAGGATGGTTCCATCGTCGATCAAAGACATTATAGCAGGAAGAATGATGTTACCGAACAACTTACACCAACTATACCGCAGCACATCTCTTGGTATGTCTGATTAACCCTGCGGCCGCATGTCCTGGCGGTGTTGTGTGGTCGACGCTATTCTGGCACTACATGCTACGAGGCGCCCGCCCATTAGCGATACCAGCCGATCAAACTCTGAGCCTAAAACTATTAGGCGATCATCTGAAACGACTTCTTTCGAGAGATATTCGTGAAAACAACGAAAAAGCCAAACAATCGCACTGTCTTACCGCGAACCTGATCCGCTCGCTCTGTTACCTTGGCGGCTCAGGAAGTCACAACAAAATGCATGTCTGCTATCTACTACTGTAGCTAGCCCGTGCCTTACTCTCCGCGAGCTACTAGCAGAAGACCACGAATAAACCAAATGCCGGCCCAGCCCATCAATTAGGCATATCGCGCATGCGCATATTTCGCCGAGGGTTTGTCGCTTAGTGCTTTTCATTATCCTTGACTTGCATTTGGAGTATGGTAAATTTCTTGTTAACCAACCCTCGGCCGGCATGCATCCATGGGGGGTTACAACAGTCTTGGATTTGCCGCCTGGCTAACCAGTTAAACCTCAACTGCTACGCATAGTTTAACATCAACTCATGTGCCCGCATTCCTTTGCCGAGGTCTTTACTTTAATTGCTTTTCATTCTGTCCTTTCTGTATAGGATAGATGTGTATGTACCTACATAGATACTGTCTTCCTTTTTTCTCTTCTCCTAGTGCAGAGTATCAGCGATTTGCTATTGGAGTGTCAGCTACTGTATTGTGTTCATCGTTATCTCTTGTCATCTCTTTGCTGTGTGTGCTGTTTTGTGGAGGAAATGTAATTTGTGCACTAATTTTCCATCAAAATGTTCATATCTCTTATTGTAGTCACACAAAGTGGTTACAGCTCCTCTGATGTCTTCCCATTTGCTTTTGTTCTCCTTCCCCCGAGTGAATGCAGTAATGCTAGTGTAGCCAGCGCGTCTCAACTGAGATCAGCTGATGGCTGGCAACCAAACGTAAAAAGGATGCGACCTGCATGAAGAAAGAAGAGTAGCCAACCTCGCATTTAGATGGCGAAGTCTCGATAAGCCAAAGACAGGATCGGCTGGCGCTAAGTGTGAGCACTCCTAACCAGTGATATCCAACATAAGGGAGGTATACACCGATCGGGCCGACTCCAATCAGCGTCAGCGAGTGCACATATCCGAGCACTCCATCGTCAGTACACGGAGCGTGACATCAGCACTACTCATGTCAGCTGATGATCACATGATAGTCACATGACTCATGTTATGATCTTCTCTTCCTCAGAAAAGCGCCTTTCTCAATATTGCCTGACCTGGACCTCTTCCTACCACAGGCGCAAACACAGATGAGACCAAGACACAGTGTCCCTATGTTGATGTCTACCTCACGCCACTTACTCCTGACATGGCAGCCGGAGCGTTAGTAGTATGATTAGTAGCTAATGTGTTCTACTAGTATATACCTCATTCAGACAAAGAAGTATGCAGACGAAGGCCATCAAAGCGTGGTGAAAGGCTGCAATGCTCGTTACTGTTTACATATACTGTCGCGATGACATCAGTGAGAGTCAGCTGCATGTCACTGTTTGTGGGTGTGGCAGTCGTGGAGGAGATAGCAGAGGCCGTCTGAGCTTATGATGATGATCTGATTGCATGAGATAGACACCAACACGACACTGATGAGGCTGTCCTGCAGGTGTGTGTAGCCGAGGATGTGCGTCACCAACACTACAGCATCCTTGGGAGAAACGGTCTCATGTACTGAGGACTGGGCGGAAGTGCGAACGGGCCCGTCAGTCGGGAGTGAAGCCGATGTGTTGTAATCCTCCGCACACACATGTACGAGCCAACAGATTACACAGTTTGGTTAATATGTTTTGTGCCTCCATCTGCATGTCCATTTGCTTTCACTATGCATGCACAACAAATTAATGTACGTAGCAACTCTGTTTGTAAGCGTTTGCTAGGCTCTGTATCAGATGATATGAAAGCACTGTCACTACTGGTTAGCCGCTAATACTTATATCATAATAGAGTATTGTGAGAAGTTGTAGTTCGCTTTCTAAAGATACAAAACAATCACAGGAAAAATTTAAATAGTGTACATTGGCAGCCGTGGTACGGAATGACTACATGAAGAGAATGTTGGTACAAACATTTTGTGCTGAGGTTTCATTCGTAAAACACCCGCTACTGTACTATTTCCTGTGCCCACCCCAGAGTCTCAGCCACAAGTCAAGTCCTTCAGTGCACTAGCAAGGTGATAGTGAGGTGGTTACTGGTACTCATGGAATACACACCGCCCCTCACTGACAGCAATATTAGGAAACATAGGAGTCGAGGTATGAGCATAGAACCACGAGAGCCCCAGAATATCTATGTCATCATCGCGCAGAAATTGATGGCATACGAGAGCAAAACCAGTTGTTCCCATCCTCTGCTCTGTCCTGGTGATTAGAAAGTTATTACTGCTATACAAGTGTGGAGGAAGTATCATACCAAGTCAAGAATGTGAGCCACAACTCCCATGTGTCCTAATGAGCCTGAAATCAGTTTCAAACACCACATAATGGCTTTTGCACAATATTATTGTACATGATCAAGTTTATGCGTAGTCTTCTTCTAATGTGCACAACGATTTTCCATTTCCTTCCTATCCTAATTTTAGTGACACTGTGTTGCACTGCGCTGCAGAAACTGCTGGGGAGTCTATAGACTTTAATAATGCTAGTGTTCATGACACTCAGTTACAGCTGTGCCTAAAAATCCTGTCTCTTACTTGCAACACTGACTCAATGTGATGTTTGTGCATTATTGCAGATATGAAACTGAGTTGTATACCTAAGTCCAAGTTTTGTGTCTCGGTGTGTACACTGTAGTTTTTCCTTTGTAGTGCCTACTACTGCCGTCGTTCGCAAACGCTAAGAGTTACGCTCATCTATAGGTTAATACTTACATACATATACCTGGTCTTGTTGATCGTGCTATTGTGCAGTGGATGTGCCTGTGTGGTTGGAGTCAACCTCAGTAGCCCGCTGGTTAGTTACTGTAATGCTGCTAGGTGGTAACATTTTTGGTCTTCATTTGTTAGATACTTCACTATCTTACTGAGGATCAGTTAACATGCGCAAACAGATCGATGGCTTCAGGCAGACTGTCTGTTGCCAGATCTGAGCCGACCAGCAAGCCACGACTGGTAAATGCATTTTCGCAATTCATACGTGGTTGATTGTGCAGCTGCGTGTCCTACATCGCAGAGCCTCAGCCAGATTCATCTCACCCTGGATGTGGTGGTAGCTATGAGGTTGTGAATGGGGTGGAACGGGCAATCCTACCTTTTGATGACAAGGATAGTGAAAACAGGGGAGCGAAGGTGTGGTAAAATACACATGATTGTAGCTGATTCTGCAGCATTGGTACAATAAATATTTGTCCCAGAGCACAATGCCAAATGGATCTTCAACCTTACCCTATCTGAACAACTTCACTGTGCAAGGGGGGAAGGAGTATGATAAAGGTTGGTACTGTGATAGATATATACCCATCAATTTTCTGTGACGTTATTTATTAGCCCTAACAGAAAGCACTCTGACAACCAAGGGCAAGAGACATCTCACCTTTGATACTCCAATGTTTTGTCCATGGTGCTGGTAGTATAAAACCGGAGGGTTGTTTTGCTGAGGAAAACATTGGTGTTCTTCCGGTGAATAATGAAGGTCAGTGTACACCTTCACAATGAGCTTGTTCACCCAGATTTGTGAAACAGGAGAAGAAGACTCTCATCCCGACCCAACTGGATCTTGGAGACAAGGATCAGCAGACAACTCCTGCACTGTCCAGGTTTATTAGATTTCAATGCTTGCCGTAACCCATTGACAAAATGTTTCTTGTTAGGGTGATGCCAGGGATATGGTGCCAGGTTTGTCCTTTTTGTGGCATTTTAGTGGTTTTTACATTCAGTGTCTCTGTTTCACAGAGGGTGATGACGTAATCCCTTTGGGAATGTAGCGATGAGCGGAAGAGCTCCGCGGATATTTGGACTTGCAGACATCCTGCCTACCTTGCCACATCAAAGATGAAGCCAAAGAAGGTATATATTTTGATAGAAGTGTATGAATTTCATTTTAACTGTTGAATTTTTAAAGGAGAGCTTGTTGTTGGAGGTCTAAATGAGAATTCCAGCCTCCTCAACCCCAGTTCTGTTGAGCCATCCCCAGTGGCGGTTCAGGCCCAGCCTGAGGAGTCCACTTCTCTCCAGTCTGAGATCCAGCCACAAGAGAGTAGCCATTCATCTGAACCAGTCCCCAGACACCAGGGAGAGAGAATGACATGACCAAACCCATGGAGTGCCAAGGTCTGTAGGATTAGACAGCAGCTGCCCGGCATTGTGTGTCATGTTTCCTGGTCCTCCTCCCACAGACAACAACCAAGGGGTGCTGGTCATAGGAGGGACTTGCAGAGGTTGGGAGTGCCCCTGTCATGCCACCTCCTGATGACAGACACCGAGAGCTGTTGCCTGATGCCATATATCCGAACATACTAGATTTGTGACTGTGTAGTTGTTAGAATACTTTGTTGGTTTACCTAGCTAGTTGTAATGCTGGAACTTTCAAATTTTTTATATGTGACAGGCTCTGCACATACCGTAATGTTCTACATAATTATGCGCAAAACACACAATATTCAACTGCTCACGCTCGCTCACCAACAATGTGTTGCATTCCTCTATAATTTATTATGCTCTAATCCAACATTGAACAAAAACTTGACTGCGAAGTTTCCCAATGATGCATAGTTATGCATTGCGTGGCGCACACACACACACACACACACACACATGCAATTGCGTTGCATGCTTGTTATGATTCATTAGTGTGCTGTCATGTGACACTGCTTACTCAGCACTGTGAATACCATATCTAAACATCATGCCATAATGTCTGGAGTACACTGTTACATACTAACCCACAGCCACATTATTTCAAGTGGTACATCATGTGTCTTATTCAGCAGCATCTATTAATATGCAATGACACTAAAACCAGTAACACACATTATGACGATGAATGCACAGCATAGGCCACATTCTGGTCAGTGGGTATTGTGGTGGTGACATAGGCTGTGTTGGGTTCAGTTGGAATGACAGAGGATGGGGTGGTGGTTGGGGAAAGAACTACCTCATCATAGACCACAGCATTTCTGGTCTGGAAACCTGCTGCAAGAGAATACACACACAACTGTGAGTAAAAACTATATACCATACTGCAGCGGGTTTGCAGAGATTCTTGCTTGATGCACAATATCATTTACCTGCTCAGCTGCATGTGTGGACTTGTGACGGTTATGATATTGTCTGATCATCACCAGTACCAACACTGCTGAGACACACATCATAACACACACCAGTACTGTGCCTGTGATATGATAATAATGCAGTGAGGGTTCTGAGTTCAATGTTCCACTGTAAACACCTACCTACGGATATGGAAACAACCAATGCTTGGGAATTGTGTGTTTCCTCTTTCCCACTGTCTGTTTCCCCTTTCGGGATCAGGTAGCTCTATGAACAGTGTGGTTGCAATATAAACTGTTTACATAACTGTCATTGCTGTGAGAAAATGCTTACCAGAGTCACTGAATTTAGTATACACCAGTGGCTCTTCATCCAAACTCATAGCACCATTCTTCCCAAACAGTGCAAAGGTATAGTTCTCAGGGTTGTCCACAGCGATAGAGACAGGGAAATCAAAGAGTTGGGGAATGTCCACCACTGTCAGGAGAGGACTGCCATACTCTCTGTAGACCAGGACACATGAGGCCTCGGGATAGACCTCTGAGAATTCACAGTCTATCACTACAGTTGATCCTCTTTGGGATATGCTGGCATTCTTCAAATAGAGGGAAGGTTTAACTTTGTCAGCATCTGTAAACAAGCGCTTTTAACATTGCTAAGAAGTTTTGAATAGCTGACCTGAGTTTAGCAATATCTGGTTCTCTAGAAGGACAGCAGGCATGGTGTTGGGTAGTCCATTCTCCTCAAGGTCATATCCATACACAGTGTAAGTGGAGGGAGGGACAGGTACAGTGGTGGAGACAGTGTCCTGAGACTGGGTCCTCAGGAGAGCTCTGAAGACGTCAGGAGAGGAGGGAGGTCCCTGGAGGACCACCAGACATCCTGTAGCTCGTGACCCACTCGTGAACTCCCCTCTCACTAACACTCCTCCTTCTTCCTCTTCCACTGACAGACTCTGGACATCATAGGTTGCTGTATACACATGTATTAATTCATGAGAACATTAATGTGTTGTCTTACTGAAGGTATCATGAGATACATTCACAGGTCCACCAGCTGTGAACACTTCAAAGAATATGCTAAACTTTTTGTTTGCAGAGAGTGTGTATGTTGAAACTCGATGGTTGGAGGACAATGAAATATTTTTTAGGTCCGTATCAGACACTCCATGAAGAATGTACTCATCTACCATCTCGTTGTGTGCCTGTAGACAATGGCTATACTATAAGACTATCTGAAGAGTTAAAACCTACATAAGTAACTGCAACATCGTCATAAACAGCTTTGATATGAGTTCTGATGAAAGCAAGCCTTCCTATATAAAGGAAAATAATTATCTGAACACTACATAGCCATGCTCAAGGGTTTCTGGTTGCAAGTTAAATCGACATACTAGTAGTAATGTTGGGACTCCTCTCTCCCTGACCAGCTCCATTCAGAGGGATGACAGAGAAGTTGAACACATGGCAAGGACTGAGGTAGTCAGGAGTGAAGGTGTAGTGTGTCTCAGTGATATTGATACAGTCAGTACAGAGGATGGCTGTTGGGTTGTTCTCATCTGTCACATTGTAGATGAGGACAGAGTACCAGATATCAGGATCAACACCAGTCACACCCAGAGAGAATGGAGCACTCCACGAGATGGTCACTGAGCTGGTACTGCTAATGGAACTTACACCAGCTACTGCTGACAGTGGACCTGGATATCATGGTAAGCAATTTCGTAACTTGTAAATAATACATGCACCTTGAATGATCAATGTAACATTGTCACTCTCCACGGAGGGGCCACGAAATATCACGGAAGCACACTGAACTCTAGTTCCATTGTACTGGGGTCTGGCTGGGATGGTCAGAGTCTGCACTGAACTCCCTTCAGGAGTAGTAATCTCTTCTGAGAGAACCAGGTCATTACGTATGTCAGGCAGAAAAGTTGATCGCTGTGTTCCATTGACTAGCCACAAAGTGTCGCCACCTCTTGTCTCACATGTAAAAACTGCCGGTTTGTTTAGAAAGACAGTTGTATTCTCGGGAGCATGGAGAATCTCTGGAGAAGAAGAAGAGACAATAAAATTCTGATCAGATTATTAGAATATACACCTTGGGCCACACAAGATAAAGAAAGCAAAACAGCACCAACTAAACCTCTGGTAGAGGTTTCCATTTGATTAGTCTCCCGCCCTCTCTCTCTCTCTCGAGGCTTACCGGTACAGAAAACTAAGACTGCTGAGTCAGCACAACCAAGAAATCTCATTATTTTCTAGAGAGAGAGGGCGGGGTCTGGGTACGGGACTGATACGAGAGCTGAGCAGCGCATCATCGATTCTTTGTTAGATTGGTTAGCTTCGTTTCTCGCAGCGATCTGAGCTCCTCATTCCTCTCCTTTCGTGAGCAGTGGACGTCACTTTCTCCCATGAAAAGCGCACTGCTGAAGCTTGGCGTACTACGCGCGCGCGCGTAAGTACACGCATGCGCAACCGCTGGCTGTCGGCGAGATGACTCATGCGGAGCTGGCGTTCCATAGGGCTAGTTCCTCGGGTCATGAATAGAGTTGTAGGTCCAGCTAGGAGTGTGGAGGACCGATCGCCACCTTGACGCAACGTTTCTGCAACGCATGCATATTATAAGCGCTTAGTTGATCCTGGTCGCACGTATGGCACGCTAATCCTAACAAAAATCGTCGTAGGTCCCCGCGGCCCTGCTTCCCAACACTGACTCTGGCTTTTGCGCACACGCAGAGGCACATACATAATCGGGGAATAGCAAGTCACTAGTCTACTTGAAAAACGAGCAAGAGCCCCTTCATCTTGCCGCAACATACTCACCTCGTACTCGATTGCAAACATTTTAACCGCATGCGTGAACGGTTCTATAATCGGTTGTGTGGTCACTCTCTGGCTATAATTATATATACGTACGCGTGCATACCGGGTTGTCGTTGTCGTCTTCTAGTTCTGCTGGCAGTGTTGAAAAGACAGAAGTGGACGTATCGTCTTCTACTGACAAGTGTTGAAAAAAAGCGGTACAGAGTTTCACACCTAGTTTGTATGCTATTTTTCAGCGAGGAGACTGAAAAAAATGGCGGCGCAGGATACCGGTTTGAGTCAAAAGTTTCTGGCTAGTCTCGATATGTCTTACAACGAAACAATACTGGGACTGCTCTCTCCCTGGCCAGCTCCATTCAGGGGCATGACAGAGAGGTTGTACATATGGGAAGGACTATAGGGTAACCATGAGTGTGACTCGGGCTGGTGACTGACTTGTGGTGGCAGCTTACTGTAAGGCTGAGTCAGGTCACAGTGTTAGTGGTCCGGGGGTCGTGTGAAAGTTTTACCATGTGTGGTATGCTACAGCTGCACAGTGTCATTAACTCTGCTGTGTAGTGTAGCCACATCTCTTGGGCCGAGCTGACATGGAGCCTAAGGACTTGCCTGAGTTGCTCACTCATGTGATGTTCATTTGTCAATGTAGGCAGCCACCTGGTACTCCGTGATTTCACATGCCCATAATATGTTGGCTGTGCAGCCAAGGGGTGTTTTATAATTATGAGGCAAGGCGGTTTGTATGGCAACTAACAGGAAAAGGTTGTTGCTCTCATGGGATTCACATTTACAGTTATTCATAGGCAGCTTTTCAGTTCCGTCTTACATGGCGGCCAACAATAATACACCTATTTGTGAAGTCGTCGTGACAGGGCAGAGTAAAAAGTATAAACGGTGAGTACCAGGCTCTCCTCCTCCCAAAGAGCCTGGATTCAAGGCAAATGGATAACTGCTGCAGATCCTTTCAGAATCCATAGTCTCAAGAACGCAATGTGTGTTAGGTAGCGAGTTATGGGAGGAGGATATTTCGCAGCTTTAGCTTGTTGAGAGTTCTGAGAATTTGGGAGTTAAAAGGAATGTGGCAGCATAAAATAATAATACGGGCTAAATGTTACTATGATGGGAATTTAGCCTTTATATGCAGCCACATTCCAAATGCAGCCCAGTGTTGATGCAATACAGCTCATTCTCAAAAGGTAGCTAGTGTTTATTCAGTGCTTGTTCCCAGCAATTAGGGGATCCTTGTTTGGCACCACACACTTATGTGTTTCCATGCGAATGAGGGCGTGGTATCTTTTCTTGAGTTGGCAAGCTTATCAGATTGTTGGACAGTCTCTCTGCGCACGTGATGGTGTATGCGGACGAACTAGAGCAAATAAAAGTCAGAGAGGAGCCTTTCCCCCTCAAGGGGGAGATGAGATCTTGGAACAAGACCACGTGCACCACTCATTGTTCTCATTTGCTGTCAACTTTTACTGCGAACATGATATTGCTTAAGACTCAACCAGCCTAGAAGCTGCTGTCCATTGTACCTTAGCAGAGCCTTTTATCCATGACTTACATGAGGTGTGTACATTAGCCATAGCACCTGTAGTTGTCGACACTTGTGTGTACTCATCACACAAAAGGCAACTACTGTACGTGCTGCTGTCATAAGACCAGGAGTATGTACCCAACAGCGTTAGAACAGCATCGTTCTTTTATAAGGGCTTTGCTCGTAGTGTGGCACAGCAGGAATACCCTCGTGATGCAATATTAGGACGAGGGTCTGGGTACGAGCTAAAGTCAAAGGCAAGGTCAGTAGGTGTGGCACAAAGGGGTGATCTCGGAAACCTGTTCCTATATTACCTGTGTGCATGTGTGGGAGAGAGTGTCAAATATCGCTATAATTGCTACTATTAGCATGTCAGTATTCTGACTGTACGAAGGTACTTCCCCAGCCTGGTGCCCAGACCCCGCCTTTGGTTTTACATCGGGGTCTCGGTGTATACAAGAGACTGCATAATTACCAGGGTTTGTTAATTCCTATGCAGCCTCAATAGCCAGTGATTGCAGTGGATGATCGAGTCATGGCTCCAAGTAAGTTAACCTTCATCTTGAAATTACAGTGCGCATTGCAGAACTTGGTCTGTGTGTGCATATGTGTGTGTTTGTCTCTCTTGTATATAACCACTAATTACTTCTCACACTTCAAATAGAAGAAATGAAAAGCACTAAAGTGCAAACCCTCGGTGAACTGGGCGTGCGCGCGCGGTACCGCTAATTTGATGGGCTGGGCTGCTATTAGTATGCGTTTTTACTCGTGGTCTCCCGCTAGTAGCTCGCAGAGAGTCTGACACGGGCTAGCTACAGTAGTAGATAGCATGTGGGAGTCGATACACGCCCTTCGTTGTGACTTCTCGTGCCTTCAAGACAAGCGGACCCGTTGAAAATATAAGCGCATGCGCAATTTCCGCAGCGATAAAAATGGCTGACTAGCATTAGCCGTACAATGGCGGAAGCGCTCTAGCTTCGCAACGGAGCGTTTTCAGAGAAAACTGTCCGATCGTTCTGACCTTCGTCGCCTGTTGGGTAGATGGTATCGTTTCTGGGACGAACAGACACCCGAGAAGTGAGATTGAGAGTAACAGACAGACAGACAGACAGACAGACAAACCCAACTACTGTAACCCTCGCTGCGCATGCGCGCCGAGGGTTAATGAGTACAGTTGGCTCACTAAGCTTGCCAAACCAACTAACTAATTTTAATCGTGAGCCCCACCCCCTCCCCCTCGTCACATGTTTTTCTTGTGTAAAAGGAATCATACTCTCTCGTGTATTTTTTATTCCTTGTGCTAGCTCATCAGATTGTACTGTATTCATGGGTTATCCATTGCTGGGTGGCCATTCTGGTCTAGTCATCTGATTGTACTGTCACTCACATAGTGGTTCAAGATCACACTATATATCAGTTATGGTTGGGTTCACTTGCAATTTCTTACAGGTGGAGGTGAAATTCTGGTGTTGCTTCTACTAGCATTCCAGCCCACTGTTTTGCACAAGGTAATATTAATCCTCGATTCTGTTTTGCTATCGCCTAGCAACCTAATCTAATTGGCACCTATGGTAAGTAGATCCTACGGGACAAAAAGTTTGGGTCATGAGCATATAAGCATAAAACATACGTAATCTACATATATGTTGGATGCGGAGCCGAGGTGATTACGCGTGGTAGAGTGCCGAGGGCTCCCAAGCTGTCGGCTGCACTCTGGCTCTACTAGGGAGCCCGAGGCACTCTACCACGCGTAGTTACCGTGGCGACGCGTCTAACCGGTTAGATCCATTCAAACTGTTTGCGATGATATGGCGACGCCAGGCGAGCTGCTCAGCGACGAGATACTATCTTGTCTAGACCAGGAAGACTCCGAGAAGGAACTCAACATATTCATGCTCGCCGCAAGCTAACAGTATGAATCCTCGAACGCTCCGCCCACAACAACAACCGACAACAACAGTGCGTGTGCGTCGACTACGAGGCCTGCCCCACAACAACCGCAGCGGTTCCTTCACGCTTCGCTCCACCGAAAACGAACAGACGGCTCCCCAATAGATCCCGAAAACAAAAGAACGTTCCCAAATAGATCCCGTCATTCGGGGCAGCGGGATCTACTGAAAATAGATCCCGCGTTAGGACCAATGAAATTGCGCGATTTCAAATCACTGGGATCTACATGATAATATCCAAACATAAACCGTACCAGTACGAACTCGTTTATACATGGCAATGTCACATGTACACGCTCCAACTGTTTTTTGTTAATCTTTTTCAGAGATTCTTCATGCTCCAGAGAGTACAACTGTCTTTCTAAACGAACCGGCAGTTTTTACATGTGAGACAAGAGGTGGCGACACTTTGTGGCTAGTCAATGGAACACAACGATCAACTTTTCTGCCTGACATGCGTGGTGACCTGGTTCTCTCAGAAGAGATTACTACTCCTGAAGGTAATACAGTGCAGACTCTGACCATCCCAGCCAGACCCCAGTACAATGGAACTAGAGTTCAGTGTGCTTCAGTGATATTTCGTGGCCCTGTAGTGGAGAGTGAAAATGCCACATTGACCATTCAAGGTATTTGTTCTTTACACCTCAAACTGTTTGCTATCCCTCTACCTGTATTCACTTTCTGTGTGTCTCTTTGGCAAGCATGCACGCAATGAGGATTACAGTGCTTTGTGTGTTTGTCTGTGTGTCTGTTATTGATATTCTGCACTACAGTCTACGATGTAGTCAATGGGATATATGTACCAATGACTTAAGCAGCAAGGTCATTGTAATTTTGTGAAACCACTGCATGTGGAGTGTAGTGTGCAAACACAGAGTGGAAAAGCAATATGGCTAATAAGCAATGGTCTGCCTCAACCCATAGCACACCGTGGGGGCACACAAGTTATTGGAGGACGAGTATCCAGTTCAGCAGTGCCCAAACGCTATGTACAGATTTTGCTGCTTACCAAGAGCAAGAATACCTGTTTGTCACATTGTCATCATAGGTAGTACACTGTAAACATGCACAGCAAGCTAGCTGTGGCACAGTCATGTGTTGCTGTAGAACAGTGTAGGTGTAGAAGTCAGTTTCATTGTGTACTCCTGTCCACTAGCGCCTCACTCAGATTGTGTATACATAGCATACAGTACTTACAGTACTTGGGTTGTGGGTCAGGTTGTGCTCCCGCTGAGTGCTCGTAGTGTCTTTGTTATACGTCTGTACTTCTTAGGACATACTTTTCTTTGTTTCTTCACACATTGCACTAACATGTCCATTGCTACTACACTTAGGGCCTGTCCTCCTCTACAATGTTTGACATTACTCAGTAGGGCCCTCTCGTGTACACACCACATGCACATGGAATGTTGATATAATAAGCTGCATAATGGACTCACGCGTGGATTAGTATGTAAAGGACTCCAGTAACATTACTCAGTTCTACAACCTAGTGGCCAAATATTTTGAGGCAAATGTCAATTCTACGTGGATGGTATGACCTTGAATCATTGTGTGTTTTTTGAATGTATCTGACTATAGTGTGTTCTTGCACGCACATGCAACTGGACCATACTAGAAAATGCATATCAATCTGCCTCAGGTCCACCACTGTCAGCAGTAGTGATTGAAAGTTGATGCTAATAACAAATGCCAGCTCAGGGACCATCTCGTGGAGTGCTCCTCTCTCTGGATGTCTGGTGTTGATCCTGAATCTGGTACTCGTCCTCATATCGACAATGGGACAGATGCGAACAACCCAACAGCCAGCCCCGCTGCCACTGTTACTAATCACCGTTCATACCTTCACTCATGGCTCTGCCACGTCCTGTCAGAAAATGTTTCTCTTACTTCTGTCATCCCGTGTCAATGGAGCGGGCCATGCGAGAGGCGTCCCAATGTCACTGGATATGTATCAACTGTGAGTACATTTTCTCGCGGGTGCAATGGCACTGAGTATCCACATCTGCTTCAAAGGTCGTTTATTACCTACTCGTTATGTCCCAATGCGCTGCATTATTTAGTATGGTCCTGCGTCTGCGTATATATTAGAACTTACATGCTACTACTTTGCCATCCTGTTCTCGGCGCACACAGTGTCCTTGATAGCTTGTAGCCTAGCTCAGATTCTGTGTTGATAGGCCGGGGTATGTCTACCGCTTTGACGCTACACCACCTGTGGATGTGTGGCAAATGCCCATACCAGGTCTTGCACGTTTGTGTCCAATGTAGAGCACGTGCCGATATTGCCATGTTTGCAATTTGTGCGAATGGCACAGCATTTCACAGAATGTGGTGCTACCATACTGATGTGACTACTTACATATAGATCACTGGAGCGTATGAACACTGTGATGATCTGGCGGGTACCTGCTGCCATCCTGCATAGAAGAGATCCACTCACTTGCTCTTGTTCTCCTTTCATTGCATAGCTTCAGCACTTATATACTGACTCACGATCCGAGCTATCTCTAGGGAGAAGACCATGTTCCTGTTATGACATCGGGTCAGTATAATTAGTGTACATACACACTACTCAAATTTGTCTGTTCTGTGATCGAGTTGATCCCACCAGTGATTTGTAGTATGGCTGGAGAGTCACTCCTGATGTAGTGGATGATCGTGTCCGGTATGAAGAGAGCCACATCACCAGAAGGACCGAGTTGTCACACATACAAATACATCACACCACACAACCGTCTGCGTGCTGACCATAGATATTCATTCCTGGTGTCCCTTCTATTACCACTAGTGATGAAGAGCACACGATCATCTCAGTAATTTTTGTGTGGTGACAAACGCATCAGTACTGGAGATGTTAAGCATTATGCCCCTTAAGTGGAGATGTCAGAAATGTGTGCTTTTGTTGCCCAAGACTAATGTATATACGTAGTCGATCCACACTTTTCTGTTTCACTCACACTCAATGCTGCTTACAGTCTGTGTGGTCAGTGAACACTCCTTGTTCTGCATGAAAAATCCGTATGCGTACCCAAATAATAGTCCAATCATGCGTGATATTGTGCTGTTATCTATTGTGCCAAGGGTCAATGATTGGATCTATATTACGTGTCCGTACAGCTACATATGATGTGTCCAGAGTGCTGCTGCTGGACACTACCAAGGGTACCAATCATGAGATATAGATTTTGGACTGGAGAGTTCATTACAGACACTCACGGCTCTGGGTGTTTCGTAGTTATTTACAATGTGAATATGGAAATCCTGATGTGTTATAGCCCTACTACGGCCTGATGACTCCAGCCATTATGTATAGAGACTATTCATGACATTTTATCTTCACGTTACCACATGTTCGTCTATGTATGACCTTGAGGAAGAAAAGATGGACTGCTAACAGCCATCTGACTGGTGAACGAACACTACTGTCACTGTTGTGGGACGGTTGAGTTTCTGCTGATTATACATTTGGCTTTTATTCCTCTGCCACTTTCTAGGCAGGTCCCATCGCTGATGCAGAATCTGAATTTATAAACAATGCCAGTTTGTACTGGAAATGGCGTCAGCAGTGAATGTCAGGTGTGAGTCAAAGAAGGTATAGAGGGAGCCTCATGTGTTCCCTTGGTCTATCGAGAGTATGGTACCAAGCCACTAGATGGTGGAGGAAGGAATATACTCAGAACACTGTTTCCCTGTGCCTCTGACTGTTTGGTGGAGATCTTTGAGAAATACACATTTGCTATATTTGGAAAGGATGGTTCCAGTTTTGATGAAAGCCAATTATTGCAGGAAGAGTGGATGTACTGAGACAACTACACCACATTACTGTATCACATCCTCTGGATGTCTAATTAGCCTTGGCTTGCATGTGAATGGTAATTTCTTTTTAACCCTTGCCATGGCATGCACAGTGGTGTTACAGTAATTGATTGCCTGCCTGGCTACTAGTTAAACCTTAACTGCTAATATGGTCATATCAACGGTATGTGCCCTTCTTGCGCCGAGGGTTTGATTTTTTGCTTTTTGTATTCTGTCAGTTCTTGTATAGTGATGATAACTACAGAGATAATGTTTTCTTGTTTCTAGATGGAAGGACATCATCAGTTGCTATTGGAGTTGTCAGCTACTGTATGTTATCATCATCGTTATTCTTGTCATCTTGGCTGTAGTTGTGTGTTTGGTGGAGGAAGGTTAATTGTGTCACTAATTTCCATCAGAAATGTTCATATCTCTTATTGCAGTCGCACAAAGGTGGTACAGCTCCTCTAGTGTAGTTCCAAGTTCTTTTGCTCTCCTTCCCTGAGTGAAATGCAGTAATGCTAGTGTAGGGAGCGGTTCTCGACTGATATCAGATAGGTGGCACCAAACAGAAAAAGGATGGACATGCTGAAGGAGAAGCCAAACCTCCATTTAGTGGGAAGACTTTCACCTAAGACAGGACAGTGGCGTTAGTGTGAGCACTCCTCCAGTGATGTCAAAACAAAATGGGAAGTAAGTACACAGATGTGGCAACTCAACTCAGGAGTGAAACCCCCTATCCCAGAAGACATCCAGAGTCCAGTACCAGGAGATGACATCCAGAAAAATACTCATGTCAGCTGATGATCACATGATAATCACATGGACTCATGTTATGATCTCTCTTTCCTCAGAAAATTGGGCACGTTCTCCATATTGCGACCGGGACATCTTCCAACTCAAAACAGGCCAACCCCCAAGATGCGACCAGACACCGGGCCGACCTATGTTGATGGTCCTACATACATGACCATACTCATGTCAATGACAACAGAGGTTAGAGCTATGATAGGTAATTGTAAGGCGTGTTCTACAACCTAAGGCCAGACAGAGAGGGCAGTCAAGGCAACACACAAAGGCTGCAAATGCTCGTACTTGTATTACATTAATACATGTATCCCCACCCCCTAGGACCCCCCACAGTGGAGTCAGTATTGTCAATGTTGTGGGGGTGGCCTGTGGTGGTGGAAGGTGTAGCCGAGGGTCTTGAGTTGATGAGGAGGACAGATTGATGAGATAGACACAAACAACGACATGGACGAGGGCTGTCTGCAAGTGTGTGTGGATATCTGGGTCACCAAACTACAGCCATCCTGGGAGAAACTGTCTCATGTACTGAAGGAACTGGGGGAAGTGGAACTGGCGCGTCAGGCCTGGAGTGAAGGTTAGGGATTTTATTAGTGACTACTAGACAGAATTGTACTTCTATGCTATATACATAGATCAAGACCCAGACGTTGGTGGGGGAGCAGCAAGTATGTATATGTATGTTTATAAGTGTTGGCTAAGACACACTGTACATAGATTTCGAGGTGCAGCCACAGGAGTCTACTGCACAGATGGGTGGCACCACCACTGTGGCTAGTGAGCTAAGCGCTCCCCAGAGTGCTGATGATGCAGAGAGCAGAGGATCTAAGGTTTGTTTCATAGACTAGTAAGTAACGCTTAAGCAAAAAAATTGCCTCTACAGATCACCTTGTTGAAGAGCACTGGCAAATGTGATAGGCCTTATAAGGAGCCACTGGTGAGAGTTTTCAAGGAGAACTGTGGCCACGAAGGCAATGTAGACAGTGAGAGTGGTTACATCATCAACAATGAAAGCAATGATGTAATAGACGATGGTGTTGAGGAGGAGAATAACAATATTGAGCTGTCTTCTTTCGCCAAGTGCATGCAGGAACAGTGTGAAAATGGAGGTGAGTGATGGAGTATTGCATGGCTGCACTTTTTTCACATCGTAATGAATGTATGATTGTGTATATGATTGTGTAGAGGCAGCGGTGTTTGCTCTTGGAAGTGTGGACCACAGTGTGTCGGCATTGAAAGTTCCTGATGTTCACCATGTCTTTGACAGGGTGCTACCACTCCAGAGTAAGGCCATGATACACACAAGAAGTGAATTTGGTATGTTGTGGTCAAACAAAAAGTTACGTATATTGTATGTACAGGGGCTACAGATGCTAGTGGTCTGGCTGAAGTGGCTGCAAAGCTGGATTCTGAGGGATGTGGAGAAGGGTCAGCCGATAAGGTGTGGTTGTCTCTAACAATACACATTTGTTCCTTATGTAAACTGGCATTACGCAATGGGCCACCTGTTGACATTCAGAGGGACCACATACACACATACACACACATACATACATACATACATACATACATACATACATACATACACACACATATATACACACATACACACATACATATACACACACATACACACAGACATACAGACATACATACACACATACAAGCAGCCTCACACTGCAATACTCATCTCTATATACCCATTATAGACTACATATGGAATTCAGATGCAGCGGCAGGCAGTGGAATGTAAGACCACTGGGCCCAGACTCCCTGACGGTATTGAGTCAACCATGTTCATTGTAAGTGTGGTAGTGAATGTTATACGCCACAGGTGAGTCACAGAAGCCAGCTGCTGCTGAAGCCAACCGTGTGCCTTCCACTGCAACAAAGTTCAAGAAAAGGAAGAGAAGGAAGAGAAGGAGGAGACGCTCTCTCTCGCCACCTACAAGTATGTTACTGAGTGGTTACTTCATCGAAATGATGTCACCTACAAACAATTTTCGTTTTTCCTGTAGGTGAAGAGCGTGGCCAGTCTCAGTGTACACAGACAAAGGCCAAGAAATCGAGTGGGGACATGCCCCTCGACTAATGGGTACTGCACATGGGTGCTGTTTTCAACTTACTGTAATTTAGTTTTAGCAGATTGTGTGCTGTTTTCAACTTACTGTAATTTAGTTTTAGCAGATTGTGTGCTGTTTTCAACTTACTGTAATTTAGTTTTAGCAAATGCAGATTGTGTGCTGACTCAAACTTATTTATAGCTGCTGTATATACCTTTTTACTAATATTTGTACTGTTTTGTATTATAAAGCATCTCAATTATTTTGATAAGATGACCAATGGAGAAGCTGGCACAGTCATTTGCACATGTACATTCTATGCCATTTCCACCTGGTAATGAACCGTGATGTCCTGTGGGTAGCCGCAGTTGCCGTGTACTAATATGGAAGTAAACAACTACTTACCTGCTGTGCACTAAAAGGAATTCATTCTATGGCTGGTCACCTGGTTGGGGGGAGGAGTCTTTCCCTGCATGCTCTGTGCACATGTCGTGCTACAACGATGGGACCAGAGACAGTCACAGCATTACTGGAACTGAAAAACCCACTGCTTTAGCTACAAAGTTGCGGAGTGGGTGTTTCTCCCTCATCAGTCAGGTATGGTTTCCGGAGGCAAAATACGCTGGAAGTTTTTGTGAGGGCATGTACAGTAGTAACAATAGACCAGGTGATGCCAAGAGAAAAAAGATGCGGAGCTCTGGACAGCTTGTTTTTTTCATACAATGTGCCACTCCCACTAAGCTCTAAGCTCTATATAGTGCACAAAGTTTTTGAGCCATCTATATATTATGGTTGAGTGTAAAATGGTTCACTTATGGGTGTGAAGCCCTCCATCCACATATTGCCAACGTTATGTACTGAGAAAGACGGTATATATGTTGTAATGTACTGAGTCTCGATAAACAATCTGATTATTAGGTGGAGCACGGTTTACACACACACACACAGCACATGCGCACTAGCACTTGGGTAACATACAGCAGTGTGACCACAGGGTGATGCAGTTTTTGCGTGCACACGTCGCCCCGCGGCAATACGTTACAAAAAGAGTATCAAATGATTTTATAGTTAACTGATGTGTAAAATGCCATGGTAAAATGTAATCACATTACTTCAAATCTTCATATATTGGATTCAGTGCCTGTTGAGGTGCAGTGTGGCCTTTTCTCCGAGGCTGTGGTTTATGTAACTCATACGCCATGTTCTTCTCCATTGTCACATTTTTGAAGCAGCTTGACTCAGCCTCTGCTTTTTCAAGACAGACATAGAAATAAATTGAGGAACTAGTTATATACGTACCTTTCCTTCTTTCTCTCTGTATCTTGAGCACCTTTACTATAATCATCCCCACCACAAACAAAATACATGTAATCACAGCTCCCACGCATGCACCAACTCCAATACCTATTTGTACAAATGGAGACACACAGTGAGTTACAAGACACGATCAATTCACCTTCTGCCGACCATGGATTTGGGCCATTTGGATGAACAAGAGACCCTGTGTACACAGGCTTGATAGAGCTACATCTTTTGCAGTTAGTATGAACATACTTGTCATCCCATCAGTAAGAGAAAGTTGATTGGTGACAGAGGAGCTCACCACTACCTCACCCTCCAACTCCTCCACTTCCACTCTCAACACCCTTGTACCTGGGGGATACCATTTAACAGGAGGAGTGAGATGGTTCAAGTGACTAACTCATAGAGAGTGTTCCAGTGGAGTTGGTGTCACCAGCTCCATTACGGGAGGTGAGGTGCACAGTGTAGTCACAGTCTCTCCCCAGAGCTACCTCAGACTTTATGAGCAAGGTCTCTTTGTCTGGAGTCAGCTCTGAGGCCTCTACTGATAGTACTGGCGGACAGTGTGTCTGAGTACTACTGTAGTGTACAATGAGGGGAACTTTAGCTGCTTTTTTACATATCACTGAAAATGAAAACAGGTGAACATTATAGCTCACATTAGAATGAACACAAACCTTGTGAGTGAGTTTCTATTTCCACTAGATACATATTGTTCTTGGGAGTTTTTTTACGTATGAAAATATTTACCCCTAAAATAGAGATATCTGGAGGAGTTGAGTTGTTTGTAACGGATACAATGTAGTTTCTACCCACTACCTTCATGAAAATAGCCTGTTAGATTACAGTTGCTCTCTCCCTGGCCAGCTCCATTCAGAGGGATGACAGAGAAGTTGTACACATGACAAGGGCTGAGGTAGTCGGGAGTGAAGGTGTAGTGTGTCTCAGTGATATTGATACAGTCAGTACAGAGGATGGCTGTTGGGTTGTTCTCATCTGTCACATTGTAGATGAGGACAGAGTACCAGATATCAGGATCAACACCAGTCACATCCAGAGAGAATGGGGCTCTCCACAAGATGGTCACTGAGCTGGTACTGCTAATGGCTCTCAGACCAGCTACTGCTGACAGTGGACCTGAGAAGAAATGACTTACTGCAGTGTTATTTTCTCCTTATACTTACCTTGAATTCTCATTGAGTAATTTTTACTTTGGGCTGTGGTGCCATCTAATTTTATAACCAAACACTGAATGTTAGTTCCATTGTAGTCAACTTGGGCTGGAATAGTCAGATTCTCAACTCGACTTCCTTCAGCTGTGTTATACCCTGTAACTTGCAATTTGCTGCGTAGCTCTGGTGAAAGGTCCTCCAATATTGACCCATTAACTTTCCAACCAGGAAATCCCCCATCTGTCTCACACACAAACACTGCTGGCTGGTTTAGGAAGACAGTATTATTGTCAGGAGCATGGAGTATCTCTGAAATGCAATCGCAGACATTGTATTAGTTGCACATTGTTAGACTGACTTCACCTTGCCCAATGCAGGGTCCAGAACAATAATTGATGAAGAAAACAACTGCACTTAGTACACCAGAATATGATCTAGTTGATGCTCTGTCTACAACCATTTTGACGACTAACTGCTCACACTTGGCCGGGCCTGAAGCGCGGAAGAGTGCAATACTGCCCTGAATTATTGTAAGCAAGAATTTCAGAAGACCTTATAAAAGGTATTTTACATAGGAGCAAACATAACCAGCGCAGTGAGAACTAAGGATGATACAGCACTTTTATAGGAACTAGGAAAGTTCGGAGATAGATTCACTGACTGTAGCTGTGCATGCGCGCCAGGGCCCACGTGGCTTGCTATTGTCTCCGCGCTCCCAAGGCTACTGATCATCATTCTACGGAAAACTCATAGTGGGTTACTTAGTTACATCGTGCAATAAAAGAAGATCACGCATAAGCTTCAGTCGAGGCTGGGCACTGTCACTCGTAACGCGTCGCGAGCAAAATCGTAACTCTTGGGGGGCGCAGTGGTTTGCATCACTGCAGTTTCTCTCATAGAAGGAGAGGGACCAGGGCTGCTTTTATACGCGCAGGCGACTAGTCTCGTGCCCAGACCCCACCACCCACTCATCACGTGAAAAGGGCAGGGGCCCGGATCTACCAATCAGGCCAATCAACGCCACGTGCATCCGTAGTCCGCGAACTTTGGTAGGACGAGCGGTTCGGATAAACTGACGTCTGTAAGACTAAGCTTTGTGTCAATAGCTCCCTGCAGACGCTCCTTTCCCCTAGCTTGTGGGTGGAGCGGCTGGGTACGAGACTAGTTACGTATTCTTTGACCTTTGTCACGCAGGGACTACGCCCATTTTTTCAATACGCCGGCGCGTGACTGTAGGAAAGCTACTGCGTAATGGCGACGAAACGTTCGCTCTTGGTGAAGTCGCCCACTGGTTTTTCCTCCTATAGCGAATGTATGGAGGAGGAATATGAATAAGCTAATAAGCTTGTAAACAAGGAGCGGAAAATAAAGCCAAAGCAGTTCCACCTCACTATAATTCACGGGCATGCTGCGCGCGCATTCGACGCTCCTAACCAGCGCATGCGCGTAAGACAAAAAACGTCGTGTAATGGCGCGCGGTACGGTGTAGCCATTTAGACGCCTGCCAAAAGAGGGCGTAGCTAGCCCTGCGGTACACACACACACACACACACGTGTGCACGAGCGTGCGCATTCAGGAAAATAATTATTGGTCCCCCGGCCCCCTCTGGACTAAAAGATCAGCATCACTCCAAGCGGTCAGACGCGCGCATTTCGAGAAGGTGTGTTGCAAAGAGGTCTACGCAAATCGCTGTATATACCGACCGAGAGAGCGGAGGGTCGTCCAAGTGCGTTGCGTGCTGTGCGTCTTCTAGGCTTGTCGAACTGTCTTGTACGAAGGTGTTGTGTACCGAGAGTCATTCGTCCCAGTGCGTTGGTGCTGTACGTCTGTCCACGCGTCTTTTAAACCATGGGAGGTAAGAGAAACGCTACCGCGTTATGTTGCGCCATAGCGCGGATCTGTATGTTTGCAACTTGCCATGTCTGATGATAGGGGCCATAACTAATGCAGTATCGCAGGATGGTCGGTTATCCTCTGTTTTAACACCTTTTGTGTGTGGACAGATATGTAAGCCTACCCTTGCCTTATCTTAGCTATATAGCCGCAGTGATAAGATGCAGGTTAGTACCTATAGTGTAGTTGCTGGCTCTGTGTAAACCCTGTGAACATCACGCTTTATGTTTACTCTAGGTGGAAGTGGAGTGACAGTATTTTTAGCCCTCTGGGCTGGAGCTACAGCTCAAGGTTCAGTATAATTAATACCAACAAGGAATGCACAGTGGTCTCTCAGTGCATGTATTGTCAAGTGTTGGTAGTAGCTGTGCACACTACTTGCAAATTTACGGTCCACTGCACTCCAGAGCTACCATGGGCAGATGCTTTGGCAGAGTGTGGCTACTTAAAACTGAGTATTTGTAAGCAAACACAGCCCCTATTTTGGTCACAAGTGTTTGGGGACCTAGGAGCTATTAAATTAGGTGATGGGAAACACTTTAACCTATTAATGGGAATAGCTGAAGGGTTTAGCAGAGGTATGGGTCCATTTCCTATTCTCTAAAACTGTTAAACAGATTCTATATGAATAGTGAGGGTTACAGCAGTGTGTATGTCTGTCTATCTGTCCTGAGTTTGTCTGTTAGGGCTATTCTGACATATTACTGGGTATACAGTGGAACCTCTTTTAGCGGACACCTACCGTATAACGGACAGTGCCAACTGCTTTTCCCACAGATACTGTATTTTAAAAACCTCCGAATAGCGGACACTCTAAATAATGGACACTTTTCCGGTACCGAAGCCCTCGCTAACACCTCGTTATAACTGACACTCTAATTAGCGCACACCTACTTTAGATATACGCCAGCCACGCCTACATCTGAACAAGTGTGCTCGAGTCTAGACTGGCATCGCAACCAGTTCATTCGCCTTCACTTTCTACAGCAGAGTTTGATCCTTTATCAGAGGATATCATGTTTATCAAGTCATTTGATCTCCCCTAATAGAGCTTCAAAGAAGCAGTGCAGGATTGGAAGATGTATAATAATATGTATATCATGTTTATGAAGTAATTTGAGCTCGATGTATAAGTATACAGACTTTCTCGAGAACCGCGGTTGTCTATTGTCTAGATTTGGGTCATACCACCAGTTTGCTTTTGAATGATGTTCCTACTAACTATTTAAACAGAGCACTCTGTGGATCATTTCACTGCACCATAATGTGTTTTGTACATCAGTAATGCTGTAAAGTGACAGTTTTGACACGAACCTACCAATAAGGGACAACCTCCGAATAAGGGACAGCGGCCTGTGCACCAAGCTGTCCCTTATTAAGAGGTTCCACTGTAAACAAAAGTAAAAATGTAATGGGTTACCCCAACCAGGTGCCCTTTCTGCAGACTGAGTGGGGGTTGTGTATATTATAGCGAAGCTTTGCCCTGACCACTACCCACTCATGTAGCTTGCCAAAGTTAGAGTAGGAAATGGCTCAGCAGGTCGTGCATGCAGTGTTTACTTTGATGTGCTGCTGCACAAAATGCACACATTCCTTTGTGGGTTTGCTTTTCATGCTTGTGTACAGTGTTCAATGTAGGTGGTATACACACTCACTCAATTAGCAGTGCTTACCTTTGTTGCTGCTACCATTCTTTTACACTGAGGGTTGCACTACTGTTCTTCAGTGCTACTGCTGCTGCTATAGCACTAAAGTGCAAACCCTCGGCTACAATAGTAGATAGCATGCGGGAGTCGACACACGCCCTTAGTTGTGACTTCTTGAGCCTCCAAGGTACACAGAGCAAGCGGATCAGGGTGTAAGCCCAGTGGGATCAGTTATGCATATTGGCTTGTTTTCAAAGCATATTTCTCCAACCCAGTCATTTCACAGTATTCACATTCCCGGAAGTGGTTGTGTAACTGGTTTATACAGGTAACCATGTACTCTAGCTACTATGGTTTTATGGAATATACAGCAGACTTTTCACTGATAAGCATATCATCAGAACGGAAAAGTTGCTAGGGGCCTCTAGTGGTGTTAGTGTTTTTACAATTGGATGTAAAATGAAGGAGTTATGACAGTTTTGTCGTGGGCTAAAGTGAAAGCGTGTCCTAGGGCCAAGTGTGACGTTCTTGCACCTAGCTAGCTGCAGCCTCCCCTTCATGCGCCAATGGAGCCTTGACTATGCATTTGACATCATAGCGTTGCCATAGTGATTTCCCATTTCCGATATACAAGTCAATGCCTAATTTGGGTTATTGCACTACATTACTCATTTTCCTTTTTATACGTGATAAACCTCAGTAAGCATCATCTTACTGTAATCTGGCCGAAGTTAGCGCCGAGGGACTAGTACTCGCGCAGTAGCGGTTGAGCTGGTTGTTGACTGACAGCAATCTTAGGAGCCAAGAGGGATTATGCATTTTACGACATCACTTTTATAGGCTGTGACCATTGGTTCATTGGTGATGATGCGGGCAACAACATACATATGACCATTACAGTGGTGTGAACTAGTCAGTCTGGTGCCATAGTGTGTAGAAAATGACATGAAAGGTTTGCACTCAAGTTTGCTCACCAAAGCATTTGTATGCTTTGATAAAAGTGTATGTGCTAGACCCAGAAACCTAGCTGTGTAGCTGAAGACTACATACATACACAGTTACACTGTCCTTGTTTTTATAACCCTTTGGCTTTGCATGATTATATTATTTTTTTGTTCCTTCCAGTAATACTATATGGTCCTCTGGATCAAACCGTCCAATTAACCAGCAAGCAGAATTTCAATGTGAGACAGATGGTGGTATCACTGAGCTGGTCTTCAATGGAATACCAAGACAAGACCTCCACAGGAGGTGGAAGATGATCTGGAAGTCGTATCAACTAATACTGATAAGGGCACTTCAGTGGAGACTCTGACTTCCCAGCCAGACCTGAGTACAATTGTCATACCGTTCAGTGTGTGGTACTGAAATTCTGGTGTTGACTATGTCGAGAGTGAGCCTGCACCTTGACAATAATTGAAGGTTTGTGTTAAATAATATTCAACATCCACTTTCTACCAGTATACGAGTATGGTCCTGCATATTATGAGCCCTGCAAGGATGAATGCTGTCCTGTCTGCAGATTTGTTGGATATCCCTAGACAAATGACATGTATGAACCCTGCATTTACGTACAGGATTGTTACTCCAACACTAGCATTATGTATAGCACCTGTATCTCCTGATGTTGCATGTTTAGCAAAAACATACGATGGAAAGTAAATCTATTTTGACTTCTCTAGACTTGAAAACTGCCATATTGGCTTATTTTCATCCAATTTTAGAATTCACGCAGCAATGGAATCCTCGCACTCTTCCGAGTCTAACCATATGTTTTACTAAGCCTGAATCCTACCGGTCAAAGTACCTGTATGTCCCATAAGAAAGAAAACTGCCATGAGTAATGTGGTTACTGTATAACTGTGACATCCGGGTCCAGGTGGCTTGTTCTGAGATACTATTGAGCCTATGGGAGGGTATTTCGAAATCTCCAAGCAAAGCACACAGAATATTTGGAACTGTCTTCCTCTAGTGTAACGTACTGATGAGATAAGTTGGTAACTCAACATTTTCAGGTCTATCCTCATCATCTGTGGTTGTTCTCAAGCTACAAACGCTTGCCAGCTCAAGGACCATTTCATGGCCAGCTACTCTTTCCCCAAACTCCAGCAAAAGCATTCCAACTCCAAGCAAAGCATTCTTCAAACTTCGAGTGTAATGAGTAAAACCTCTAGTGGAAATGGAGGTAAGAGCATCATCAACTTGAATAAAAAACTGTGTTGAATCTGATTTTTTTAGACGTCCACAAAGAGGACAGTAATGTTATTGCTGGCTCAATTCTGGCTGCTGGAGGCTGCTGCTGGAGTCCTTGCGCTGTAGCATAGGGACAGGTGCTATTGTCATCATAAAGGTTTTAGATCTTGCAAAAGAAGGCAAAAACTGAGCAAGTATATGCGATTGTGTGTTTTTGTGATTATATTACCATGGCTCTTTAGGAACTGGGGTGGGTTCTGAGGATCGCTCCTTTACACTGCTTGTTAAAGGTACAAATGTTTCAATCTAACCATCTCCATGTTCTAAAACTAGAGTCTGTATGTTAATTAAGCTGAGGTCGGCTTTGTGAATGATAGCAGTCTGATGGAGAGTGATGAGATGGGACCCAGGACAGGAAAAGTAGCTCCTCTGCCTCTGAGGTTCTGACTACATAGCGTGTGATTAACAGGCATGTAATTAACTCTCCTTCGCAGAGCAAAGCACAATGCCCACCTCTCCCCACAACCAGGTGACTTTTGATCCATGCAGATATCACATGATACCCACATGAGGCCTTACGTGTGGATGGTGCTCTTACAGGCTAATCAAGATGCTGGCAGGTGGCGGTTCATCTTCCAGGTATACACTCATGTAGTACAAACACCACAATTTGTGCAACTCTCTTTCTCATGCAGTGATGTTGAAATAACCCGGAGGAAATTGGACTGGAAGTATGTAAACCTTGGTGACTGTGTTTGTTTATATAGCCATCTGAAACTCTGTGCCTCTCTACATTGTAGAGTCTGCTTCATGCAGTGTTGGCGGCAGTGATAGTGTGTGGTGGTTACAGGAGTGCACCAGCAGAAACCCCACAATGACAGCAGTGATGGTGGCCTCAGGGGAGGAAAGGTATGGTAAGAACATCCCAGTGGCTGTGTGCAGTGTTAGCAGTCCTGTCAATGGATGTCTTAGGAATCTATATTAGGTGGCTGTCCAGGACAGGAGAAGGCAGCCACAATGAACTGCCTTACTGGTCAGCTCCCAGCAACGACAGCCAGGGAAGCATGAACCCTGAGGGGGAGAAAAATGTGAGTGCCAAACTGATGGTGGGAACGATGGATTTGGTAAGAAAGTAAAAATCCAGAACTCTCTTACTGACACTGATTTGTGTGTCTGTGCTGGTAGTTTGGACTAATCCTACGTATCTATATTATTTCCAAGAAGAGATGTGCTTCATCCATTCTTCTCCTTTGAATGGTAAGTGACAAACAGTCAAACTGCTTTACACGTGCTATTCCTTGATTACTGTAATAGATTTTGTGTATTTTGGTGATTTTTTGTGCTGCTCCATTGCGAGAGACAAAATGGAGGAGTGGTTATATTGTAAACAAGACTGTGTGTTATGCAAACCTCATTGAGAAAGAACAAGGAAATGAGGAGTTTCATCAATTTCCAGTTGCTGAAGATAAAAATGTAAGGATGCTAGTTTTTTTGTGTTACAATCACCATAATATTATTATCAATTCTTCCAGGCTGGAGAAAATATTCTCAAAGGTATACTAATGTGCCACTATAATAAGTTGAGGTTTATCCTCTCTCTTACATAGGAATTGCCCCACAGGAGTGCTCTAATTCTCATAATGGTACGCCAGCACACACACCATGTATTACTTAACGTATAGGCGGCGAGGCGGTACAGGATATACTCCGAGGCTGTTGACTAGAGCCCGAGGCCAGTATAGTCAACAGCCGAGGAGGATATCCTGTACATGCCGAGACACCTGACTTTAACTGATTTGTAGTCCAACTAGCCAATCACAATGCTGAATTTCTGCTGCATCATCCTACTAATGTACTAATAATTGTTGTGTAAACTTTGGAAGCCAGACAATCACTATGCCTAGCGCTAGATGTTGTGATAAGGACTTCCTGTCCAATACTGATATCTGTCAGCCCACATGAGAATACAGGATTGTTTGAAGTTGGACTACAAAGTTCTGTATCTGTCCCTTTCTGTGTTACTCCCATGCCTTTTCTTTCTTTTTCCCAGAAAAAAGCTGGGCACTAGATAAGTGGATAATGGTCAAAACTAAATTTGGTTACTGCTTACCTTTTGACGTTTTTTTTTTATAACAGCCGATATCACCATGGTATCTGGGAGACAAGGCAGTGTGGGTACCAGTGTGCCAGGAACTTTGGGTCTGAGGCCTGAGCCACTGCTGGAGGAGACTAAGAATGCATCTTCATTGTTCCTGGGTAATATCTTCTTTTTTTAACTGCTTCCATGTCCACTGGTTTTGTTTTATTTTCAGGTCAAATCCAAAGGCCCCAGAAAGTACCCCATTCAAAGCCACTTGTCCAGGCCACACATTTGGTAAGCAAGTGCCGCAGGAGGAAGAAAGGAGGGACGACTCCTGAAATCTGCCAGGATCCATGGCTAGGTTTGTGGGATTTGAGTGTGGTAGTGTATTACGTGTCTTGGCTTGGTTTTCACAGGCAATTACCATGTAGAGCTCATAAAGTCATTGCACATTAATGTGGATCTCGGATTTGGAAACTGTAATGAGAGCTTCTATGGCAGTTCCTGTCAATAGCCTTGGCCTGTATCTCTAGACCAGCCACAGCTGCTATTGAAACAGCAATATACTATGTATACTAGGTACAGCATCTTATTCCTAATGCACCATTCTTAGCATTATATTACTATGTACTTTTGTAGTCTCCTATATACGGTTTGTGCTATACACTGTATTCCTTTCCACACCCTGGTATAATGACATAGATTGAGTGTTTTTGATATTTATATACTGCATGCAGGAATGTGCACATGCTTGTGCATAGCCCAGCCACTGAAGCTGCTATGGCCTGGCGGGACGCGTGCCCCGACTCATACTCCATGAATAAAGGGGTGTGGCTCACATGTTGTATTTCACACGCTGCTCTGATTCTCATCTCTGTTCTTTGTTTCACCTGATATGAAGTGGGACTTCCAGTTGCAAATAGTACATGTTATAATGGTAGTTGCAATGCTAGCCCATTGTAAACATAGGCAGAAATTCAGTTGTTAAAATCAGCTTGTCAGTTAACGTTGTAGAGCTTAAAAGGATTATGCTCACAGTGAGATGTAAAAATACTTTGATGGATAACACAGCATAATTATATAGGTGCACTGGGTAAAAAGGCAGATAATGAAAACAAACCGATGGCAGATTACACACATTACTTCAAATCTTCATATATAGGGTTTGGGGTTTGACAGTACTGTTGAGGTGCAGTGTGGCCTTTTCTCCGATGCTGTGGTTTATGCAACTCATATGCCATGTTCTTCTCCATTGTCACACGTTGGGAAGATGCTGCTGATGACTTAGCCACTGTTCCAAAGAGGAAACGTGTAAAACAAGAAAAATAAACTCAGAAGTTACCTTTCATTCTTTCTCTGTGTTTCTTGAGCACTTTTACTACAATGATCCCCATCACAAACAAAATGCATGTAGCAATAGCTCCCATACATACACCAACACCAATTCCTGTTTGTATCGATAAAGATATATACTAGAATTGAGCATGACTGTTTACCTTCAGCACACCAGGGATTTGGAGTAACATGTGGCACTGAGATATATAAAATACACAAGTTTATGTACCACACAATTTGTACTGAGGATGGACGTACTTGTCATCTTATCAGTAGGAGAAGGTTGATTGTTGGCAGAGGATGGGTGGGGACCATGGACAGTAGCTACAGTGATGTAGTCGGGATCTCCAGGAGCTGGAGAACAAGAGTCCCCCCTCCCCTGCCACCAGACCGTAGACCAACACAGTGTATGTAGCAGGGAGGAGGCCAGGGAACCTGTGGACACCTTCTCCCTCCCCCTCCACACACCCTCCCTCCTGGAACCCTCCCTCCACCTCACTACTCACCAGCTGCACATAGCACCTCTGGGAGAGGGTGTGTCTGAACACACACCTTACCACTACCTCTCCCTCAAGTTCACCAACTTCAACCCTGACAACTCTCGTATCTGGAACATTTTATGAGATGTGTGTGTGTGTGTGTGTTCAAGTTACACTAATAAATCTATGGTTCGGTAACAAGCCATCTTCTTACTCACTGATTGAGAATATTCTGCTGGAGTCCAAGGCTTCACTAGGAGAGGCTACATGGACAGTGTAGTTACAGTCTCTCTTCAGGACCACCTCAGATTGTATTAGCCAGATGTCACCTGGAGTTAGCTCTGGGGAAACCACTGATACTACTGATGGACATTGTTCCTGAGTACTACTGTTGTAGTAGAGTTTGAAGTGTTTCTGAAAGCACAACACTGAAAATGCAAACAGACAAACATTGAAAAACATTTTATTCGCCAGAGTACCTGTGTTGTTTATCATGAAGAGTTGTGCCGTAATCATAAGTTGAAACACATTTCTCGGTTTTTTGAAGACTGTAATATTCGCCTCATGATCTGACAGATACCTATGATCTATACAAAATGTATTATGACCATGGTTAACTAAAGATCAACTTACCTGATAGAGTATACTCATGTAAGGAACTAGTAAGATAGGTGTTCTCTCCCTGGCCAGCTCCATTCAGAGGGATGACAGAGAAGTTGTACACATGACAAGGACTGAGGTAGTCAGGAGTGAAGGTGTAGTGTGTCTCAGTGATATTGATACAGTCAGTACAGAGGATGGCTGTTGGGTTGTTCTCATCTGTCACATTGTAGATGAGGACAGAGTACCAGATATCAGGATCAACACCAGTCACATCCAGAGAGAATGGAGCACTCCACGAGATGGTCACTGAACTGGCATTGCTAATGGAACTCAGAACAGTGACTGCTGACAGTGGACCTGTGACAATATTAATTAAAATTAAGCATTTGGGACTAAAACGTAACTACCTTGAATCATCAATGTTGCAGTATTACTCTCTGCTGAAGAACCACCAAGTGTTCTGGTAATGCACTGCACCCTAGTTGTGTTGTACCATGCTTTTGCTGGAAAGTTGAGTGTTAACAGTCTATTGCCTTCATCAGTATTGGTGGAGGTAAGGTAGAGATCGCTAATTGTCCCAGATGGTAGGTGTTCTGGCAGTGTTCCATTGATCAACCAACTAGAGAGACTACTCCTTGCCTCACAAGTGAACACCACTGACTGATCTAGGTAAACAGTCGTATTTTCTGGAGCACGGAATATCTCTGTGGAGTTGGTGGGAAATTCAAATTAGGCTGTTACATCAAATCATTTACCTTGAGCAAGCATAGGTAACGATAAACCGATGACAAGTAACGATGCCAGAAATAGCTTAGGACTACAAGTATCCTCCATTAGAGTGGTGAAAAAGAGTTGGGCAGTCAAGCATGCGCCTACGTAATATAGTCGAGATCGTAGTTGGTGTAACCTGGCTCGCGGAGAGGCATAGTTATTTACCGGACCCTTCTCGCGCATGCGCTTATATTTCAAAAGCGCGACCGCGCCAAGAGGATCAGAGGAGGATGAGGTGTAGCGCGCGCACAATCAACATTCCTAAGCTGTCCGCGCATGCGGTTATAATGTAATCAAGTATCGTAGCTACGAAAGGAAGTGGCTCTGGCTGGTGTTCAGGCGGGCCAAGACCTTGCTATCCCTCGATTGTTAATAATGTCCAAGTGTGTACCACGGAGAACACTCGTTGCCTTGCAAACGCCAGTGTGCCGTTCTGCAGAAAGTGCGGGTTGACTGGGTTTGGTTGCTTGGGCGAATAAGGCGCACGTGATGCAAGCGATGACGCACGCTTGCACAACTTAACCTCCTCTGAACCGCCATTGCATAAAATAACCGTACATACATATTATATTTCCGATGCTGATCGAATCGTGAGTATATAACATACAGACACACACGACAACTACAGTAACCCTCGCTGCGCAAGCGTGCCAATGGTTAATTTTTGGAGCAGAGCAGAATAATATAATGTTTTGTAGGTGCATCACTATTATACATCACTACACTACTCAAGGCATGACACAACTTTTTATAATAGCTGACATCAGGTGAGGTTCCTTCATAACAGCTAAAGTCTTGGGCTGTGATGTTACACAGAGTAAGACCGATGGAGGGACCTCAACCGAAGGTCCCACAGGGAGTCGGGTCCCTGGCTCACAACCTTCTCACAGTAGTTCTCTGTGGAGAAGGGCATATAATAGTTTGAAGTGTATATTTCCACATCAAGCCAAGTACCTTTTCCCCCAGGCCTGGGTGAAAGTCTTGGAGCTGGTGCATGTGGGGGACAGCTGCTCTTCTCCTGCGGCTGCTGAGACTCGGTCTCTGGAGGAGGTTGGGATGGAATGGGCTTTGACGGCAGTTTCTGGGGCCAGGAGTATCTTGTTTGTGTCTTCCTGGCTGGGGCTACGTAAGTACACACATACACAAAGACTTGAGATCAATAAGTACAGCAGAGCAAGAAGTGTATATATACCTTCATTTGGGTGCTTCTCATCAGCCCTTGCCTCTACAGGTTGAAGACTTCCATTACAGCCAAGTATATCTCGAATCGTTTCTAAAGCACATGAAACTTCTAAAGCTAGCTGATATGGGCAAAAATGTGTAATGTGTAATGTGGTCACATGCATTGCTATTCAAAGTACATTGGCTGACCTTGAGAAAGTGGAGGGGAGACTGTCTTCATTTGATGTGCAGACCCACCTGTGCACACCTCACTTCCTACCTCAGGTTGGTCACCAGAGTCTTCAGCCTATTATAGAACGGTATAACAGCTATATATACACGTATTGGCAATTACTTTGACCGTGCTAGAAACAGTCTGAGGAGAGATGAACTCAGGAGAATGGTCTGCTCCCTGTACACTAGTCATTTCCCCATCATCAGAGTCAGGATCACCTGAGTAGACACATATTATAGTGGTATATAGATGCATAGAACAATAAGTTAGAGAATGTTGCTGACCATTCACATTATTCCCACTGATGACATCCTCTTCCTGTAGAGCTTTAAAAGGCAGAACCACTAGTGCAGCATGTTTTTCAACTCTTGACTGCTTGTTGGGCTTCATACACGAGAGTAATTTCAGTGTTAATGAGATTTAAAAATATATAAAGTGAACACAGTAGCTCTAGGCTAAAACATGGTGTACACTACCTAAATGTAACTATGATTCTGATGTAACCAATCAATTAATGATGTTAATGAGGAAATTGACTCAGCTGAGTATACAGATAACGGCAGAGAATTCGATATGCTGCATGAACTGGGATAAAATGAATCCAGAAAGGCATTTGTATGACTCATGCTATTGTAGTACCGGCATGGGTCCCCTGATATCCTCTTCACCAGGGATTGTCTTCTTTTCCTTAACTCCAGTCACCATCACACAATTGTCATTATCAGCAGGCTGAGCTGTTCGTTCTGTGAGGATGTAACATCTTCACAGCCACAATAGACTTAGAAATCAGAAATTACGTGTGTCACTTTTCTGTATGGTTAACGATTGTGAAACACAGGCTGAGTTGACTTCTGTATCCACTGGTACTGTAGCCACAAAAGGCAAGTCATCATCTACAAGGAATTTGGCAAATGAACAAACATGCGCAGAAGTTCCACTAAGCGATCGACAATGCCACGTGGTTCAACTACTCATTCTGTCGTACTCTCACACAGGAAGGCAGCGTGGTTGACAAGGCAGAATAACACCACACAACACACAGAGTAGCATTATCCAAATTACATGGCTTACCACTGTCCCGACCATTTTCCACCTCCACTGAGCTGAGTTCCAGGGGGGAACTCCTAACCTCCATTGAGCTGAGGTCTGCAGAGCCACTCACCACTCCACTATCAAGACCCTTCTCAAAGTCCTTTTGTGGAGTAGAGGAATGTCTGGCCTCTTGCTCCAGCTCCCCTGACATTATCTTGGAATGCAATGTTTATAGTTCTAATGCAGAGCTGAAAACAGACATAAACCAACTTTGGCTATTTCATTCTCAGTCTTTTTTGTTTCAGTAGGGACTACTCCCAATTGACCTCCGGGCACCACTTCACTGCTGCCTTTGCTAGGGTCCTCAGTCTTCTGACCACCATCACAGGATTGAATAGGTTGTGGCTGGCCTGGACGTAACACACATACATTGAAACACATGTACAACAGATTATTATAGCATCTAGCTAATGTATCACACTGAGGAGGTTGGACACAAGTTAATCGTGCAGTTGCCATAATGAATACGTGAAAAGATGCACATTCCGAAAACTGGTGGACCCAACCGTCTCAAAGGGGTGCCACAGTCACGAGCAAAACTCTTCACAATGATTGAAGTCAATGATATTTTGTGGCAGATGTGCAACATATTTGCCCCATGTTGGCTTCCCTCATTATATGCTTATATATACTTTGTACAGTGAAATTTAGATACCAGGAATCTACTTGTGATTGAAGAGCTTTCAAACAACAAGTAATATAATTATACCTTGTCCACTGTGATGGGGTACACCATCTTCACTCCCGGCCTGACGGGCCAGTTCCTCTTCCCCCAGATATCTCAGTACATGAGACAGTTTCTCCCAGGATGGCTGTAGTTTGAAAACCCACATCTCCACACACACCTGCAGACAGCCCTCATTCATGTCGTTGTTGGTGTCTATCTCATCAATCATATCCTCTTCAAACTCCAGACCCTCTGCTATCATCTTCCAGCGACCAGCCACACCCCACAACAGTGACATCACTGACTCCACTGTGGGGGGTCCTAGGGGGTGGGGAGACATGTAATGATGTAAGACAAGTAACGGTGCATTGCAGTCTTTCAACCTTTGGGTGTTGCCTTGTCTGCATTCTTCTTGTCTGCATTAGGTAGTAGAACATAGCCTTACAATTACCTACATGGTGCTATCACAACTAACCTCGGTTGCCATTGCCAGTCATAGGAGTAGCGGCAATAGGTAGGACATCAACATAGGGGCCCTGTGTCTTGGTCTCAATATTGGGGGGTTTTGGCCTGTTGGTAGGAAGAGGTTCCATCTCAGCATATTGAGAACGGGCCATTTTCTGAGGAGAGAGAGGATCATAACATGCATCATGTAACTATCATGTAAACATCAGCTGACATGAGTAGTAGCTCTGTTGTCAAGAAATTGTGATGTAGAGGTATCAGCACCACTCTCTTGGACGGGCTGGAGGAAGAGAGATCTTAAGAATGAAATAAGCTACATTATGACATTCTACCATTTTAGTAGGTTTGTGCCTAAAAGCAAGACATATAGCCACAGTTGCAATCACAAAGAGAATGATGACAATCACTCCAACAGCAACTCCAACTGCAACTTCTGTTGACATGTTTTCACCATCTATGTGTGCAAAAGGTGTTTAATGCCTGGATGTAATGAGCAATTTTGATGGTGTAGCCAACTAAAATGTAAAACACATGTGCACAGCAATGCATGTGGTGATTCCTTAGTATAGGCTCTATAGTTGGCAGTACTACTTGGTAAAAATTTAACAGACAGACCAAAACTATTTACCAAAGGCAGGTGGAGATGAAGATTTTGCTCTTTCAACTACTAAAAATTTGTTCATAAAGGGCCTTTCATCAATATCATTGTGGTCTTTTCTTTTGAATAAAGCAAAGGAATAATTGTCAGGATTAAGACTTAGATGGAGAGGAAACATTTTGGTAAATATGTTTAAGGTGTCGTTGCCATATGCTCCGTAGATCACAACACAGGAGTTCTTAGGTGCACAGTTGATTGTAACAGTTGAGCCATTGCTAACTATACTGGCATTCTTCAGGTCCTCAACATTCATTGCCTCATAATCTGTGTTCAGAACAACATAGCATTGTCAGTCTGGTGTATTGTACTCAGAAAAAAAACTTACCTTTGTCTTTTATTTGAACAATATCAGGAACAGGGTTAGCAGGATGCATGTTTGGGAGTGAATTCTCTTCCAGATCATGTACATAAACAGCATAAAATGAAGGGGGCATAGAAATCGTTTCAGAAAAAATATTATTAATTCCATTCCTCTTTAGTACAATGAAGGTGATCTTAGTGCTGAAATTGGATTGAAGGGCTAAGAAAGATCCTTTAGCACGAGATTTATTGATGAACTCTCCAGTTACTTTAATCATACTACCATCATCTGTTGCAACTGCATGGGGTCGTTGAACATCAAAGGTGGCTATAGGGATTACATAAACCGCAAGATGAAGCATACAAGTTTAGTAGCTACAATGCTGCCACACGTGTGTTTGCTCATAAAATCTCCAAAATAAGAAAGCTAGAACTTTGTTTGACAGCTAAAATTATCTTACTGAAATTATGTGTCTCCTCTTTTCCACAAATCCCAAGAATTGCTGTATACTCCCCATCAGCAGGTATGGTGAATAGCACCGTTTTATTTCCAATATGTTTGGTGTCAATCACTCCATTAGCATTTCGAACAGACAGAGTCAACAGATTTTTCGCTTGCACCTATGGTATGGCAAATGTCCCATAAACCACTAAAGATAAAGGCGAAGCAAAGAATTAAACAACACCTAGTGCAATATTTTTAAAAAGACTTCCCTGGGTCGGATCGACACCTATGACTGAGCATGTGACAGCACATTCAAGAAAATGAAGAGTCTGCCCCAACCGCACTTTCCCACATGGCCCCCACTCATCAACGCGTGTACATGGATACTACCTTTGGCCCAACATTGACTAATGTATTGGTACATTTACGTATTAGCTATAACGTATCGTATCACTTACAAATTCAAATGTGACATCACGGTTGTCACCATCATCTCTGGCCTTAACCTTCTCTCTTGGAAGAGAAACTATTGTGAAAGAAGAGCCCTTTCACTTTGCGTATGTTAATGTAAATGTTTTACTATACAAGTACGAGATATGATGAGAAACTTTACCAAAAAAGGATTGATCAGCTTACTAATGTGTATCTATCGAGGTAGGGTGTTCTTATGTATGTCAGAACTTGTGATCAGCTGCAAAGGCATAGCTACCAGACATTTGAGATTGAAGCTAAAGCAAGCTAAAGGCACTACTGCATCACAATCTTCTAGCATGAACATAAGCCACACACACTCTCTAAGCACAGCTTACTATTCCAGACGCTCCATACATTGTCTCCAGATTTCATTTATATGTTCCAAACAAAACTCACCTTCCCATGTAACATTACCACTGCTCTCTCCCTGGCCAGCTCCATTGAGGGGGATGACAGAGAAGTTGTACACATGACAAGGACTGAGGTAGTCGGGAGTGAAGGTGTAGTGTGTCTCAGTGATATTGATACAGTCAGTACAGAGGATGGCTGTTGGGTTGTTCTCATCTGTCACATTGTAGATGAGGACAGAGTACCAGATATCAGGATCAACACCAGTCACATCCAGAGAGAATGGAGCACTCCACGAGATGGTCACTGAGCTGGCATTGCTGGTGACTCTCAAACCACCTACTGCTGTCAGTGGACCTGGATGCAATTTATATGCATTTTCAATTGAGACAGTAGATTACAATCATATTTCGAGAACAAATATTTTACTAGTATGTCCAGTTCGATGTGCGTGCAAGAACAAATACTAGTCAATGAAAATACATTTATACACAACAGCGATTCAAGGTCATACCATTCACCTAACTATCTGGCCACTAGGTTGTAGAACTGAGTTCATGCTACTTGGAGTCCTTTTACCAAGAAATCATTACTATCCACCAGGTGAGTCCATTTATGCCACATTGTACCCACATTTCCATGTGCATGTGTGTGTGCACAACTGATAGGGTGTCCCCCCTGAGTATACAAGTCCTTGTATCTTGTACATGTCACATGATAGGCTCATGTAGTAGTAGTCTGATTGGCACAAGTGTTCATGTTATTGGTAGCGTAATGAAGCAAAAGGTACTGTGTAAACATGCTACCATATATGGTAGAAAGGTATGTTGTAAGTGAAGTACACTATACCTGTATAAACAGTTTACACAAACGCTTCCTGGCATTCATGTAGTAGTCTGCCGGTATATACAAGTGTTCATGTTATTGTAATGTGAAGTAAAAGGTGTAAACATGCTACATATATATGTTATGTACTACGTGCGAGGGACATACCGGATTTCAATGAACCCGACGGCCTCCGCGTTTGTAGTGTCCCCGCGAGCAGCGAGGGCACTACGCGGATGGCCTGAGGGTTTCAATTGAATCCGGTATGTCCCGAGTATACGGAGTACATAACATGTTTAGTTGCAGAGCCAATCATCTCTGTATAGGCCCACAGCCGCGTTTCAACAGAGGGACGAGCAGAGACGAGAGCGCAAGACCGTCATCTCGTGCGGGACTATTGAACGCCGAACGCTAGGATACGCTGCTCCGCCGCTCTAATCAGAAAAAACGCGACAGGAGACCTGCGCGAACCATTACAATCGAGAGAGTGCAGAGTGGAGATTCAGACGCTGTGCGGCTGCTATACCGAGGCGTTTCACCGTGACTCATAGCTTTGTCGCGCGCACTCGCTTGCGGTACCCCACCCCCTTATTTGCGTGCGGTGGTTTGTGGGCGGGCGTGAGCTGCCTGGCTATCTACTAACATGGCAAGGAGGGAGTTGGGCTCAAAGCAGACACAGAAAACTGTCTTGTGGAAAAAGAAAATCAAGATATCAGTTATTTTGATCAACATTTTGTACAGATCATGTTTTGCGTATACATTTCCTACATGAAATGCTGTTGAACTTGTTTGAAATCAACAGAAAAACAAGGTTTCATATCTGTTTTCATGTTACTTTGTTAGCTCACGAGTGCATATGAGAAATCAGGAACCTCGTACTAACAAATCTGATTGGTCGATTCGAATCAGCTATGCACTAAATATAGGTTACACTATACACACGAGCCGGTTTAGTGGACATACACTAGAGTATATAGTGCATGCACTAAACCATCGAGTGGGTGTAGTGTAACCAATTTGTACCACAGGAATGCGCACTAAGACAACTTATTAGGATGGTGTACAGAGCTCATACACCACATGTGAGTGTATGGCTGAGTCAGCACACCATACACCATGGCATGCAACTAATAAGTTGTCTTCCGCGCATACACTGCGTGGGGTGCCTTTGATTTATAGGGCTTCTGTGGTACAAGTACGGTAGAAAGGTATGTCATAAGTGAAGTACATGGTACCTGTAAAAACAGTTTACACAAACACTTGGGCTGGGCTTGCAGTACGCATTTACTTGTATTCTCCACCTAGTAGCTATATAGTGGAGAATGTCACACGGACCTGCTACACACTAGTAGATTGCATGCGTGGGTCAATACACGACCTTAGTTGTGATTTCTTGTGGCTCCTAGGTACGCAGAACAGGTCGAGGTAAGCCAGTGCTAATTTGCATATTAACTTTATCACTAGGTTTTCACGTCATATCTAGTACTCTTACGAATCAAGCCAGTGTAGCGCTGAACCTTTTGGTATCGCTATTTTGTTGCCTCATTGCGCGTGGTGGCAGAAAACGTGGTAACAGACAGACAGACACACTAACGAACCAAGCACCCTAACCATCGCTACGCATCTTCGAGTGTCGGTGTGATGTCCACACACGCAGCGAGGCTGGCCTCACTAATACGAGTAGTTTGGCGGAAATCGGTGTGACTAACCGGCTTCCCGGCCAAACAGCTCTTTAGCCCTCCCTGGCAAACGTGAGCGGCGGCCGCGTGATGAAGGTCGCAGACCGCAACCAGATCACGCGACCCGAACGTATTCGCAGTCTCCGCCATTCCGTGAACGTGCCGAAGCCCCATGCCGCCGCATGCCCGACAAGAGCGCCATTCGCAATGCCACTTCAAAACCTCCCCGGAAACTTCCCCGCCTGGTGGTCTCATCCGAAACCCGCCGCCCCTTGGTGAGCATATCCGGTTGAAAACTCCCATGAAGTTCACCCAACGTCCGGCAGCGCCCCCCCCGCCCGATCGCGGTCGACTATTATTTGGCCGTGATTGCTCTCGGATACAGCACTACGGCATGAAGGGTCCGATGTTTTCGAACCCTGCCCATGTGTTCGCGATCTGTCTTATGCGGCCCTTAGATTTGCGTTGCGGGTCGTTCTGGTCCACCGGATCGGCCTCGGTTCGGGAGTATTCGCGGCGGCGGCTCGTCTCGTTGTTTCGGAACTCGGATTCCCCGCCGCCGCTCATGGACATTTGGTCCATCTGCGCCGAATCGGCCGATCGGGCGGCGATGCTCGAGCGCAGCCGTCGAACGTTCAGGAGGGCCGTCGACCTCACGTCAACGATCATCCCGGCCATCCGTCACGACCCGCTAGGCCACCCGAACCGGCGCACTGGGAAGACGAAAGGGAAGACCGCGATCG